GGATATACAGATATCATTGATTTTCTGCAGCATTGCATTACATAACTTTCTCTCTTTTGCGTGTATTACCCCGTACGTATAAGATATAGTAAGAACATCTTGTGTTCCACAAGCCTACATGTAACGCTTTGTTGTGGAGGTAGGGTGTTGACAAGATTTGTTTATGAAAAACAATTCTGAGGAAATTCAAATATTCTGTACTGCCCTTAAAAATAGACTACGAAACGGATGTCCTTCAATATTTTTTTGCATTTTATATATTGTGTTTTAAACAGGGCACGAATTCTGATGATACGTCTTTTCGTTGGTGCATTCTATGCGTAGCTAACTTTTAATTGAACGTTTATCACGACGTGTAGGTGATAGATATTTACAGTAATTAGATCATTGTCATTATTTGCCATTTTTCACTTTTTATGTGTTTTTTCTGGACTTTTCCGTCATTTTTCTCATTTTTAAGAACTTTGTTTCCCTTTCGTGTTGTTTTTAAGGAAATGTTTCATGGATTTACAATGAAATCTGTTTTTCGAACTCTCAAAATTACACGGATCTTAGGTAACTTCCTCCGACTTTTACAAAACTGACGGTTGGAAGATCAGAGTTACGGATTACATTTCCTCCTAAAGGAAAGAATTTATATTAAATATAATTTATATAAATACATTTTATTTAACATTATAAAATCCATTGAAAAATCACATTCATAAAAAAGTTTGACAATTTTAAAAAAAATAGGTCATTCATCATATTTTTAAGACATTTATAGGTCATTTTCCTCTCACTGATAAGCCATTTTATAGATAATTTCCAAAAAAAAATTTTGGTCATCAGAATAAGAGGCCATGTTATAAACAATGTTACATTTCGCATCTAGTTCTTTATATCTAAACTTCTTTTAATGGTCTTTGCATCTTCGATATTCGGCCCCCTGGGATAGAGCCCACTGGGTCGATGTATAAATCTGGTGCTGGGACGAAGCCAGATTTAACCAAAGGAGGTGGGGGGGGGGATGACGCCCAGAACGTCGATAGGACAGCAGGGACAAGTCATTCCAGGAATAATGATGAAAGTGATTTCACCTACTGATATATAAACAAAGTACACAAACAGTGTAGGTAAAGTGCGAACAATGTACATTCATAGGATTACGGAATAAAAGAGCAAAAGAAGGTTAAAAACATAATTTATTTTTTCGTTTTCTTTATAACGACCCAAGAGAATCGGAATGACATCACCAGCTGTTTTCAGATTAGCGGTAACAGCTTTCAAAATACCTAGTATCTCCTCAACTGCTTCAAGGTTCAATTGCACTAATTTCGCACGTTCAGAAGTACAATCCTTGAAATTTCCTAAGCAGGATCGTTGTTTCTTCCACGATGGGGTCAACGTCCGTCATTGCCCGCACCTGGCTGCGCCCAATGTCTCCATCCACGGCATTCGCAGAAAGCACATGGTTCGGGCGCTTGCGCAACGTTGCTCACGACCTCTCCCGAGAAATGGTGGAGCGGGAGGGGGAAGGGAAGGAGGAGGGGGAGATGGACGAGAGAGGGGGAAACCACGCGGCGCCCAAGGAGAGAAACGCCCCAACTAGCGATGGCAAATTTTAGCAAAATACCGATACATCACCAAATGCAAAGGCAGATCCAGAGACAGGAGGGGAAATTTTTTGATTGAAAATCTTTTGACCGAATGTCATATTACAGATTATGTAGAATGACGCAGGCTAAACTCAGCACATGTTGTGATACAGTTTTGTTCATTGTAATGTTTATGCAAAAATATTTTTGCTTCAAAGTTTCGTGACGAGTTAAAATTAATATTTGCTGATACATTTTGGGTTTTGGAAAATTTCCCTCCCAGTGGATTCGCACCTGCCAAATGATTTTCGATTTCGATAGAAACATTGAAAAAACATCGATCTTTAAAATATCAATGTTTTAAATAAGGTTGTAAAACATTTCGAAGTAAAATTGTCTACTTCTAATGTGATACGTATCACTTCAATATTAGTTTAAAGTATATTCTAACTTAGTCATCTTCATTTAAAAAAAACTGGTTGTATGTTTACAACGTTCAAATTACAGTTTACTGATATTATCACATACAAAATAATTTTAAAAAGCAACGGCACTGTAGAAAGATTGCGACCACCAAGTGGTGACCTGAGGATCGACAATAGTGACAATTGTCAATGGTTGTTGATTACGAGAAATCCACATATGAAATAGATACTAGACATTTTCATTACATTACGATCTTTTTTTTAACATCTATGTTTCTGGTCCAATAAATCGATCTGCAGAAAGGATGCCCTTCGGAAATTTCTTTTCTACTCCCACTGATTTCGGCTCATTTATTTTATTTTATTTTTCAATGGAAATCATAGATGAAGGACCAAATTATATAATGTGTCCCTGACAGGGGTATATTAAAACTTTTCCAACAGGATTGATTTGTTATTCCGAGCTCTTAAACTGATAAGGTCATTAGTCCCGAAAGTGTAGTGATTTTTTCCCCTCTTTCCCCGCTGGATGGTGAGATCGGGCGCCGAGCAACCTGTCTGCTAGCGGGGATTTCCCCACCCAGGGTCTCCCCCACCAGCAGAACACCGTCCCAGCCGGGACAAGCTCTAAGCTCCCGACCGGTCTTCCGGCATGTATGCTTGTGTAGTGCGTGTTAATATGTGTATGTGTGTATGTAATGAGAGAGGATATGAGAAGCAAGAGGTAGGAAAGACCGCGCATTTGGTAGGGTACTGCTCCAGCATTCACCTGGTGTTGATCGGAGAAACCAAGGAAAACTACCGATCAGAGCAGCTGGCCTCTAGAATTCTCCTCCAGACTGCATTCAACCTAGCAAGTGTCGAAACTCCTGGCACCACTATTACAACTCGAACGCTAGAACCAACTGGTCAGGGGCTCTGCAGTGACATCAGCTGATGCCCTGAGCTAATTCTCCACGCCTGGCAGGAGCTAATGATTTTCCACCATGAGATAACGAACTACCTAGATACAGGGGTTAGGAGATGGGCAATGCGGCTGTTATCACCAAGGTCGAATTCTCCTCCGCCGCCGCAATGCTGACGCGCTGCAACCACACATTTTAGGTGCTCATCAGTACATACAGAAGAACATGAACAGACCATGACAGAAGAAGAACTCATGTCCGACCTCCAGATTCTTTTATTTATTTATTTTTGTTATGTAAGGTCGCAACAACATTTAGGTCGTTAGTACCACTATTGCCTTTAAAGATATGGTAACTATGAAGATGACATTATATGGTGATGACAGAGGGTGAAAGGACGAATATAAATACAATCATGCCCGAGGTGGGACTCGAAGCCGCGACACTGCTGTCCGAGGGAGCCACGGTACTACTGAACGATCTCGGCCATTCGGACCTGCATCCTATTCTTTAGTTTATCCGAGCCACTCTCTCATCTTCCAATTTTTGAGTCCTCCTCGTTGCCGACCTTTGCACTTTGTTTAATTTCTTCAATATAATAGTGTACTATTATTGAATGGTTGTGTATCAAAATACATATTGTATGCTTGGAATGTGTGTATCAATATACAGTTTTTATAATAAATATAAATACCATTATATTATAATATATCTACTAATTTATTTGCGTTTTTATTAATTATTTATTGTTGTATAATCGGACTTTCCGATCTCTAATTGTTTTTTGTACCGACCATGTCCCGGACCCATGGGTGTCGATTATGAGGGGTTTCAGTGTATTTCAATACAAACAAATCGAAGAAGTTTGGCTCTTTGAGATACATTCAGCTAAAACATTGCAATGTATTATGCTACATTTAAATTAGGGCATTTCGTTCTTTCTGTCCTTCCTTAACTTTTATCCGTAATGAATTGTGTAATGATTATTAGATTTATGTAAGGGGTTTCCTCAGTGAGCGTTTTCCCACCATCTACGGAGGGTTTCTGCTCAGTAACTGCCTCCATTAACGGCAGGGGCAAATGCCAGCGAGTACTCAGTCCATCCGGCAATATTAAGTCGGAGAGAAAAGTAAACGAACTGTATAATCAATTTAAAAAATACATTAATCTCTCTCTTGTATATATATATATATATATATATATATATATATATATATATATATATATATATATACATACAGAGAGAGAGAGAGAGAGAGGTTGAGAGAGTGAGAGAGAGAGAGAGAGAGAGAGAGAGAGAGAGAGAGAGAGAGAGAGAGTCTATACTCTAAGTATTATCTTTTCCATGTAAATGGAAAAGTTAATACTTAGGATATCTATCACAAACTATATCCTAACTATCTTTTCCATCTACTTGGAAAATATTATACTTAGCACATAGTTTTCAGATATAATATAATATTACATTTATGATATGGACGTAAAAATAAAATTATTTATTTACTTTTAATGTATTATTGGTATTGCGCGTGACATGTAAATAGATGTCTTTTCAGTGTCTCTTACTCCAACTGTCTATCTCATCTGTTATTGTTTCTTTTAAAATTTAAACAAACTAACTGTATATATGTGACTTATATGAAAGAGATGTACAAGAACTACAAATTCACTATCACTTGCACCAAGATTTTTAAGTCTACATATTTTTTATATAGTATGTACCTTACCACAAGGGGTGTGGTATCCTAAACATTTTCTAGGGGTATGGCACGTAGTTAAAAACATTGGGGTAAGGTACCCCACGTTGCGAGGGTGGCTGGATGTAATAGTTGCCGTGTACTGTCAACTTTACCGCCGCCGTCTCGCCGCGCACGCTGCTGCTACCGCCGCCGCCTCTGTCGCCTCCGCCGCCATGTGCTTGCACAAGTTGCAACAGCGCGCGGGAGAGAGGGCGTGCGGGGCTCGCGAAGCGCGGCGGGCAGCCAGCAGCAGCAGCCCAAGTGACGGCGGCGGCGGCGGCGGCGGCGGTGGGGGCGGAGGGAGTCGGAGGGGGAGGGGGAGCAGGCGCCCCGCCAGTAAAAGCGAGTCGATAGCGGGAGCGCGTTCACTCAGTCTACAGTCGGCATTCGCGAGCAGTGCTCTCCATCGCCGAGTTATCGCAGTCGTCGTCGACGTCGTCGTCGTCGTCGTCGTCGACGCTCTTCGTACTCCCGCCGTCCATCATGCTGGACGATCCGGCGGGTACGTAAAGCCATCTCGAACGCACGCGCCCACGCGGGCGTGTACGCGCAGCGCCGCGTGGCGCCGCGCCGCGCCGGTTTACGCATGCGCAAGTGGGCCGGCCGGCCGGCAGGCCTGTCGCCGCGCTCACGTGCGAGTCCTGTTCAGAGAGAGCCAGGTTGTTGGCGCACCGTTTTCGGTTGTTGGTGTGGTCGAATGTGTGTTGCTTCCATCCGATCGAGACACCGATCGATACACTGTGGCTGCAGGTGACGAACAGTGAATTTTAATGGTTTTCATAATGTGACGAATGTAAAGTGTCACTTATATTGGATTATCGAAACAATTTCTCAGGCTGTCGCAGTAGTGTTCAGTGACAAACTTCTTATCATACCAGTGTCGAAGACAGACGAAATGTTAAAAACATTTTGTTTCATGTTCTATCATAACATTAATTTTTCATATCCAACTCTACCATTTCCTAATACATCGCAGTTACAATTTTTTAGTTGTCCTTTTCCCGACTATTTTCTTGTAACACTAGTTTTGCTAAAATTATCTTGGAATAATTTATAAAGATTTTTTTTCCCAAACCTCCATTTATTGTGCCTAGCTCGATTTTTATGTTACGTCACAAGGTGCTTTGCTTTCCCTTCTGTCGCAATTACTATGGTACACTCTTTTTATGACGGCCCGAGCCTTTATGACATTCTCTTTTATGTACACCTTGCTGGCGTGGATCGCTATTTTACCGAGTCTCGTTCTAGTGATCTTTGGCTTTCGCGAACTCTCGCTGGCGCTGATAATCGATAGGCTGCCGACGGCGTTCACCGGAAAGGACAACGTCCTCACGAGTACTCTATCAGTTGTAAGTGATAAGTCCCGTTATTTACTCCGTACATGTTGAGCCTTATTTTCGACATTGGTTGTCGTGAATTGTCATATTTTACATCTGTCTGTCTCTTGTTTGGTAAATGAACGATAATGATACAACAAACGAATAACAAATTATATTTAAACTTTTTTATCAATTGGCGTTTGCACGAAACGAGTCGGGAACTGTAATGTCACGCAACAGTTCTACCGCTATTGTAATTCTCATGAAATGTATACTTGTAATTGAACAGATTCATTTACAGATGTATAGAATTACACACCGAACACGCCTATGATACAGCGTAAGCGATAGACCAGAATTAAATCTCCAGAAGGAAATGTGCTATTGTTCATGAGCGCATTAAAGCTCAAGTGGTGTAACTCCAGTTTCAGTTAGGTGGACAGTTGTATTCTGAGTGGCATGCCACTATAACATAAGCCGTGAGTATAAAGTCACTTGCTGAACACGATTATCATCGTAATTGATAAGGGAGTTACACTGTTTGAGCTGTAAGAATCTCTTATATGGATGGGAGATAATGTACATACGTAAAAAATGTTGTGTTCGTGGCATGCGTACATTTTCCTCAGTTCAACTCATTCATTCCGAATTCCGACGATGGAATGTGTTAATTCCTGTTGACCGCATTTTCCTGGTTCTCGTGGTAAATGTCGAGGACTAATACCACGAAATGTAATGTAATGACAATAAAAACTACGAAATGTCTTCGTTCTACCGAGTCTTAACATAATCATTAAGCAACACTTTAATTTTCCCATTGTTCATGATGCGGTGTGAGAGTGTAAAACACAATCACTTCAAGACTACGTGCTACTCACGGTCTCTCTGGCAACAGTAAACCATCTCAAAGTTTGAACTGATTAATAGTAAAAATATTTTTACGAAATCCATAAGTTGCAACTCTCGCAGAACTGGAACAACAAGATTTTTTGTTTACGGCCAATATTTTATATCGAGTTCTAATTATGATAATTAACAGAAATCTTACAACTCATTAAGAATTCTTACCCATGATTCCTGCATTTCATCCGCCTGGAAAAACCTGAAACACGTTTACCTCAAAAACTTCATTTTTGGATTTGTGCCTGAATTGTAGTCCGTGAACAAAATTGTATGTTGATGCATTATGATGATTGTTAATTAAAAATATCTCAAATTCTCAGAACAAAAACTGTAGTAGTCACACATTCTGAACGAGATAGTGCTACCTTTGTGCATCAGTTTCGCCTACATAATCAAGGCCTTACAAGTCCCATTTACAAACTGGTTGTAAAACACGCTATGATACTGGAACTATTTATAACGTTAAATAACTACTTGCTGTGAGGATGTAACTCCCACAATTTTGTGAAACCGAAATTTCTTTTACACTACTGATATATGTATTATCACTTGTCGAAGAGTTATTCATTATTTAAACACATACATCTTTCCTTGTACTTTCTCCTCCGCTTTGCATGTGATTTGTCGACCTATATTTGCCTCCCTTCTCGTGATAGTGACTTTCAACTTTGCTGCCAGCGCTGGGGAATCCCACATGAACCTGAATGACTCGCCCCTAGCGGTGCCAAAAAAAGATAAATAGAACCATGAGGAAAAGGCACGATGTGTCCATTTCATACTCCAGGACAGATTAATTACTACTTGGAACATTGTCTATTACTTTTGATAAGTAAAAGCACCTTTCTTCACTAACTGGAAATGCTAAGATACTATCAGTGCAAGAAATATCTTGCGCTCGTAATTCTAAAGAGGCTTCTGGATTAAATTCCACATCCCGATTCTTCCCTTTCTCGGCTCATACATTAAAAATTAACATACAAACAATTTAACAAATTGATGTTTACATCTATTGATGAAGTTCAAAAATGTTCCTTTATTTAGCTAAATAGTTTCATTTCCTCAGAGTAAAATACAATATTTTTTCTTTTGTAAACATCGATAACGTTATTCTTATAATTTTAATAGATACTCAGCAGTCTGTCAATTTTATTTACATTACTTTCCTACGTTATAAGGAATGATTTTTAATTTTTTTTTTACACAAACTACGGCAGCTGGACTTTCAAATGTGACATTATTAAACCACCCGTAAGAAAGCTGAGTAAACAGAAGAAGAAGAAAAAAACATTTATATGATATGTATTGTCATCTTGGTGGGATTAGAAATTCTCTATGAAAAGGGTTTGAAATTCTCGCTTCCTTATTGTTTTAGTCGGTTGCTCTGTATGTTAAGAATGGGAATGATGTTCACATCTACTAAATGGTTGTCGCCTTGCTATTATGAGACAATCCAAAGCATATCCCATACTATAAAAAGTAACTAATAGTGCTTCAACACTACATACTTTCTCGCATTATTTTTAAATGCATTATTGTACTACTAGATGAACCTGGAAAAACGTTTCCAATCTGCCAAATTTTTCTTCCGCACCGAGACTCGAATTCAGGTCCTCCAAGTGAACTCGCCGTACACTTTACCTCTATGCCATGGAAACAGACGTTCGGGCCGACGCTTAAAAATCGAATTGTCTCAATCCAATATTTCCTACTCGCAACTTCCAAAAATTCAGACAGATCAATGAAAATGAGACATACCCCATTCATTTAACACATGGGACGAATTTAAAGAAGAAAATTGGAGCAGTTGTTTTTTAGAAAATGTTCTTTTTAAAATTTGCAGTAATTTCAACCAGAAATTACGTCTTAATTAGTTTGTTTTTTGAAGTTGTATATGACCTTTTCTTTATGAGTTGAATTTTTAAACCAGATTTTGATTAAGGCAAAATTCTCTATCTTCAATTTATCTTTTTGCAATTTTCAAAAATAGAGGTCGCCGGAGATGAGACTAGCACATTTCTTTTGCGTCCTTTGATACATACGAGGGGATAACATATTTGCATCCAAGCGAAGGTTCAGCCCTCGGCGTCAACAAAACCCGCGCGTGTGACGAAAGCTCGGAATGCGTGGGCGACGCCCGGCGACCGGCGACGTCGTGGACGGGCGGGCAGGCAGGCAGGCTCGGCGCGTGCGCACAGGAGTCGCGACGCCTCCGCCTCCGCCTCCGCCGATGCTGCCGCCGCAACGCCGGCGAAGGCCCGGGCTGAGGCGGGCCGCGCCGCGGGAACGGCGAGAGCACTGACCTCGCACACGGCGTTATACGTGGAGCCGCCGCCGCCGAGGCGCCTTTCCGCCCCGCGAACCGTTTGCTCCGCTGGCCGAGTTAAGTGTTTCGCCCACGAGGCCATTAGCATGCGTGAAACCTGACTTGGAAGACTCCAGTCTGCCCGACTGAACTCGGATGTGGTGAACTTAACTTAGTCACTGCTCAGTGCCGACGGTGGCAGGATTTTCGATACTAGCTACATACGTCGAATTTAGCCCCGTGGTCTGGAGAAGAATTCTAGTGGCCCGCTGTTCTGACCGGTAGTTTTCCGTGGGTTCTCTGATCAACGCCATGCGAATGCCGGAGCACTACCCTAAAATATGGGCCACGGACCTTGCGCGATATTTCCTTCCTTTACCTTGTCCTTTCCTTGCCCCTTACACTTACATGCACTACACTACATGTCGGGATCCGAGCTAGTCCCGGCTGGGGAGATGCCAGGCTGGTGGGAGATACCTGGATAGAGAAAATATCCTCAATCCAACGCTGGTCAGCACCTGGCGAAGGAAGATCAGCGCCACCTCCCGCGATAAAAAAAATCTCTACACTTACGAGACTAATGACAGCAAGATTCGGAAGAATTGAACTCTCAACCCCCATTGTAGTGAACATGGTACTTGCAAATACAACTTACACTTCTTACTTCAGTACCGCGAAATTTTGGAACAGTAAGAACAGATAGTTATGTAACAGAAGTTTCCGTATGTAATTTTGGTAAAAATTAGGTTTAGTTTAGAGAAATTGATGAAATCTGCAAAGCCTGAAGTTTTCTTGGACGTAAACAATACATTGAATGCTATTCAAATCGACGCCAGCTGAAGAAAACAAGTGTGATAACGAATAGGATACAAAAATGAAAGTGTTTCAACAGAAGGGTTAGGGATCCAACAGCGATGTCGATGTTCATTAAAACATAGGCATTTTTAAGAAAACATTGATGTTTTGAACACCGAAATT